GCTTACTATCTATAAGAGGCGCTATTAGCGGATAAGATCTAGAGAGATTAAACTAGAGTTCGATTATTAATAGATACTCTTTTTTTTTTAAGATTTCTCTTTTTCGACTATAGAATAAGAATCTCGCTAACTTTATATCCTTACTCTATCTCTTATATTAATCTAATATTAGCTAAGACTAACTTAAACTAGTCTACTTTTAAACTTACTAATCTCTTTTAACTTAGTCTTTTTTCACCTTTAGTCTTTTCGTCACGCTTAATAGGTCGCCTTAGGGAGTCAAACAGTGAAGACGCCGCCCTACAGCGTATTTTGTAACCACCTGAACGGGTTACTATTGTCTACAGCCATAGGGTTCAAAATAATCTTCGGGTCGATATTAACGGGGTGATATCCAAACTCTTACAAAGCTTACCCGCTTGATTCAATATAATACTTATTTGGCCCGACGGTGTGACTGTCGTATAGGTTTTCGTAGAGTATCTAGTCTCCGGGTAGGGGCATAAGGAGCCTATCGAGCTTCCGATCTATCGACAGTATCTTCAATCGGCCTTATATAACATCGATAGTTCGGTAGTAAGACACTATACGCTAATTTACTCTAGCCTCTCTGAACGTGATAGCTTTCTTAATCATATCTCCGGACCTGAGATTGAACCCCGCGCCAAACACCTATAGATTCGTCAGCGCTAATTGTCCTATTTATAATAGTAGGGTATATATGAGATGGAGAAAGCTCTAAGGATATATATTCCTATATAATGAGAGACTAAACTAAGAGAAAGAGGAAAGTAAGAAAGGAAAGGGTGCGGCGCTATACTTTTATATAGCGACTACCCCTACTAAGTCTCTAGTATACTAAGCCGCTCTTCCTATATAACTAATTAAGAGTACGTACCTATTCCGTACTTTATCCGGGATAACGTCGGCTAGTTACGGTTCGTCCTTACTTAGCGTAGTGTCGACAGGTATAGGACGTATAGTCGAGTCTGGTTAGATCTGGCTAGATCTGATTAGATCTGGTCTGTCTGTACTTATGTAAGGGGAGCCCTGGGAGGCTGATAGACAGGTCGATAGAAGGAATAAACCAAGAGTCGATAGCTATGGTCCCTATGTATAGAGACTCGAAGCCTTGAAGAGGCTTCGAGGAGTGTGCGAAGGCACACCGCTACTTATCCGCCCCGTTGGGGCGCGTGCGGTCCTTGGCTAGTTTGCCCTGTTTAGGGGCTGTGGCATAACAACTTACGGCCGTGACACTCACTACTGTCACTATATAAGGCAAATAGGGCAGAGTAAACCGGTAGTAAGTGCACTTATTATTCACACTAGATTTGGGTGGGAGGTGGTTTCACATATCCTAGATCTGTGAAGCTACTAAGGTGGAGCAAACCTACTGTGAGTGAGTGACTGAGTTAGTGTCCGCCGACTTCTGAACGCTTATCTTTAAATACCTACGCCTCTGTCAATCCCCAGGATAATTTTACCGAATGAACACGACGTGTATTCCCCTTCTGGCGGAAGAGGACGATATCCATCTCATATGTGGAAAGGTGGGTCGGTGAGGTGTGGCACTGCTAAAAAGGTCCTTAGGGCGCGGAAACCCGGCGGCGAAAAATTCTCATCCTCGCTCGGATCGGTGAGAGAAGCCACAAACATAAACAACCGTAACCATCTACGCCGACATTATTTTGTTGTTCTGCTCGGGTCAAGCGTGTCTCAATTTAAGGTGATTATCAACGAGCGTAGATTTCATTTCAGCCGAATACATGACCATAAGCGCATATTATAACAATTCTATCAGCAATAAATATAACATGACGCTTAGGAGAATCCCTAGCGTGGCGCTTGACAAGAAGGCGGCCGAGTGACCACGGAGTCGCATAGATAGATCGCGAGGCCGGCGTGGAACGAGATATCAACACTAATAAATCCCCTTCTCGAGAGGTGGCAACGAGGTCTCTACGCTCGATTATCATCAACAGAAGCCTGGAATGGCTAGGGTTGGGTGAATCTATGTCTGGATATCTATCGGCTAGATACAATCCATCTGACTTGTTCCACTTCCCTATACTCGCTGCACTCTCTTCCGTCAAACAAGTCACCCGGTGGCGTAAACAGAAAGAAAGGAAAACAACACACCAAAGGAAAATAAATTCCTCACCAACCTTTTCGCAATGAGAAAATGCATCAACGAGGGCGGATTGGGGCGATTAACTTCACACTTTCGGGGTTCCCCAAAAGGCTAAATCATCGAGCAATCCGCCCTATAAGTTCCATAATGTGTTCATTTGTTTGTATCTGCTTCGATGGACGTAAGGCGAGCAAGCTCGCAAGCGCAATCAGACATCTTGTCATCCATACCAACCCGCGGTTATGAAGACCATATGACACTGCCTCGTACGCTCTTCCCTATCCAGTGTTTGGAAGACCGAACAAAACCTTTCGTCGCGGCTGTCAAGGGAGGCGCTTGGACATCCAGCTCCGGTGATCTGTGCGAATACAAACTGTATGGAGCACAAGAGATCCATATTTTGACCAATACTCATAGAAAATGTCTCTGTCGATGCAGCACCAACAGATCCCTTGGAGGGTGTACACTAGGCAGGTTATGCCGCTGGGTGCCTTTCGGGTCGTGCCGTGATACCACGAACGATATTTTGGTCTGGAGCTGAGAAACTGAGCTGGTATTGCGAATAATTTTGATAGCGAGGGACCGGCTCAGATGACGAAGGGCCGAGAGAATCTCTTGGACAACGAGAGGGATTTCCCGGCAGGTCGTGAAGACCGTGTGACATTACCTCGTATCCCAAAGTTGACGAAACTCTTTGGTTGAGGGTCGGAGTCGCTCTCATCTTCGCACATCCTAGGCCTCCCAGCCATTGGATGAACGGACTCCAAGGGAAACAAAGTACTCGGGTCGAGTTCGGTCTCATCCAACATAGCCAAGCCCCGCACAACCAAGCACATGTTATGTTTCTGAGTCCTTTGAATCTTTATCAATACCACACCCTGTTCGGGAAGCAAGTGAACCTCTTTCAGGGGCTTGACGAACGCCTAAGTATTCCTCCAAGTTCCCAAGCCCTTCCTGGATCCTTCCTATTGAACTCTTTGGCGAAGCTTAACGGTCCGAGTAAGCCGACAAGACAAGCCCGGGATGTCAGAAAGGCCCCGAATCCGTAGGTATAGTATTTCGTCTTTCAAACCGCATCTTCTCTTTTTCAAGCTTCTTATACAACTTTCGTTCGAGTGCGCGTTTGTCGGTGATTGAGCTGTGATCTCCTTACAGAGGTCAATAATTGTCTCAGTTCGCGTAGAAGGTCAAGAGGGACGCGACACATAAACCGCTTCAAAGCGTTGCGTACAACGTCATAGACATCTTGGGCCATCTTCGTAAAATTATCAGACGTATACCGGTCACCAGACGGTGAGGCCTCATCTGATACTATCGAGGTTAACGGTGAGGTCGTTTCCACTGTTCATGGGGTAGCAGCGCATTCTATCAAAAAGGGTTGCGGCGCACGCCAACAAGGGGTACATGTCCTCGAGGCGATCCCAGGTGTGTTTGTCCTCTGGGCGAATCGCCTTCGCGGGCCACGAATCGGCGGAATGCCTCGGCCAGGCCACATTTCCTCCCCTTCAATGCTGAGCGTTTGTCAGATTGATCACTCTTTCTTGATTATATAGGTGGTGGCACATTGAATATATGTACGGATCGTGGGAGCGCATCCATCGATGGAGCGGAGGTGGAGAGAAATGGCAGTTCGCACATACTGACTTCCCCGGCGGTGAAGCGACGCTAAATGGTTGACCTCGTCCTTCTCCCCACAAGAGACACTACTGGTGAGAAGGACGAGGTCGTGGACATCCGGCTGCCGGTGGCAAAAGAACTTGAAGGATGATGAAGGATGAAGCAAGAAGTGAGGGGGATGGTGCCTCTTTATGCTTGAAGGGCTGCCCTGACCATGTCGCTGAATCCGTTGAGGGGACCAGGGTCTCATAATGGGCTGACGTCCTCACCGCCAGTCGCTGGCCAATCACCGGCGATGAGCGGAACCTTCCGCGAATCAGAGATAATAGTGCGGGTGTCAGCGGGGCGGGCCCCACTCTGTGTAAGCACTAACGGTTCCACGTCGGCTAATATCGGTGAGTCATAACCAACCACAACGGGCCACATAATCCCGCCCGTTCCAATCTTCCGTACTTCCCGAACATAGCGGGAGCATTTGCGACGGGTCAAGACAACTCGACGTGGGGAGGGTTGGCATCCAAGAAAAGCAAGCAAGAGGTAGACATCCAAGGGAACTAACAGAAGCATCATACCCTCTTCGTCCTTGTCCTGGCGTGTTAACCGCCGGGCTTGGCAGTATCACGAGGCGGAATATCACCCCAAGGATATAAGGAGGACGGATGGTAAAAGTTACACACGCCGTTTTCCCCTTCCCTTTTCCACATTGTGTATGTGTATATGTGCCGGAGATGGATGGATGGGTCAAAAAGCATTGCATCTTCAACATGTTCACCGGAGCAAGCCCCCCACCCCCCACCTCGTCGGACGTTTTCGAACATTGCCCATTTGAAATATAGTTTGATCTCCTCCCTTGCCTCGACAGCCATGTTGCCTGTCCCCTTCTAGCCTGTTCTCACTGTGTTCTGAGTTTTTGAAGTCGTCATCACTCTCCATGCTAAGAATGAGACGCTCACAGACCTCGATGCTGTGCGTCTCAGTTCCTCATTGAGCAAGGTTTGCGGACCACGCACAGACAACGACAGATCCCCGTCTCCCGGTTGACAGGACTCGTATCGAAGACTCGGCCGTGTGAGCGGTACCACTAGCTGCCAAAGCGCGGGCTCGCCCAAAAGCAGCCCAGAGGGAAGAAGTCTTTCATTCTGACGAGGTTCACCGCAGTATGCATTGAATGTGTTTTGTATAAACAGTCTCTCTCTTTCTGGTCTCGATCGCCCTTTCCCCTAATAGGTTAGGGTCTCAACCTCCTTCTCCCTCACGCTTTCACCGCGTATCGCTCCATCCGTGCTGGATTGACGGTCAACATGGGCAGGTAGGGAAGGCAGTGGTATCGCGTCGGGAGACGGATGCAACAGAGGTTTTGGTATGTGGAAGTCGGCGGAATGTCGTCAATCATGTAGTCCATAAATTTATAGCATTCTTGTGCGTGCATGTATTGATTAGCATTCAAGGTGATCAAATGTATGACGCCGCAGTTATGCGGATGAGAGTTTTCAGTGAGGGTGTTTGTTGACTTTAAAGGAAAATGGCGGTTTTCCCCAAGTCCGCAGGCTGTCTGACTCGGTCAGGATCGAGTGGAGGCTACGGTCTGACGGTCATTTCATATCCTTACAGTGCGTAACGAGATCTTTTCTACTGCGAGTGCCGCCTTAAGGCTCATGGCGATAGAGGGCGAATCTAGGTCATTTATCCACAGCTTTTGATCCACCAGACATCTCCGGCTGCAATTGGCACCATTGAATAGCCCTCAGTAGTATCTACCATATAATACTAATTTCATAAAATTATCCTGGGCATTTAGTGTGATGCAGGCAGATAAAGGTGCGGGAGATGTTTCTTGGGGTGGGTAACCTAGCCAATCAATCGCGAGAGTCCCGCTTGGCACCTCGGTCCGGAGGCTAAAGCAGCAGATTTTAATGGGTGCGCATCGGACTCTGAGCCGTAGTATTGAGTTCGCATCACAACTCTGACTTGCACCGTAGTTTATCTTCTGCGCGCTGCCCTTATGGCTCTTCCTACCCAACCGGCCATCAGTAACTCAATCCCCAGGTAACGCACTTCCAACCTCCCGAACCAGCTCCGAACTATCGCTAGTGAGCGTGCCCAGTAAGTGGCCTATTGTAAACCTCCGAACCCGAACCTTTGGGCGATCAGGCTCCTGTTCCTGTGCTTTAAAGTCGGCAAATTGCTAATAAACCAACCCATTACTAGCTAGGATCCTTCTGCCGAATGAGTTCGAGACGCCTCATAACTGGACCTGCAAGCTGCTCAATATCTTCAGATGATACATCAACACGCGGTGGACTTGAATTGACAATACTACAGTGTTGGCTGGTCGACGAAAACTTGTTTATAAAAAACTCCGTGAGACGGCGAGCGGCCATTCACGCTTGAAGCGACTTCCGTGCTTCAGAAGTAGCTTCCGAGTCCTACGCCGTGTTAAACATCCTCGGACAATGTATTAAAAACGGCGTGGACTTGAATTCGTGGTATTGGGGTCGCCTCGTCGATATAAAATTGCGGAAAGCCCCGTTCGACAGTGAGCCACCATTCGCCGCAGAAGCGACTTCCGTGCTCCGCGAGTCTCGTTCGGTCACCTCTCAGGCACTCACGCCACCGCATGGCCAGCCTCAAAATATAAGGTGTAGGCGCTGCACAAGGCCTTTTGGAGTTCCAAGTGCGCCAGTTTCTGTCACACACATCCTCTCCACAACCCCCAGAATAAAACGGCGGCGAAGTGAATTCGTGGTGAATTCTTGACGACCGCCAGGCTGAACGAGACGAGATCCCGACGGACGAGAGAAATGGAATCCAACAGCGAGTATAGGGACAATTGGTAGAGATTGGGGCGGCTGGATTTGAGGACTTGGAGTTCGCAATTTTGGGAGGCGGAGGTCAGGCGTGTTCGGTGTCGAGCATCCAGGGTGCCACGCACGTGTACACGTAGACGCACGCCAACAGGCGCAGGTGGAGGTGCAGGCAGCATTGGGAGAGCAGACAAGCATATCCTTATTTATGGCCTGGCTTGTGAGGCTGCGTCAGTCCTTACTGGAGTGCTTGCTGTTCTCGCATGATGTTATGCTGTAACATCCGAGTGACATCGTAGGTCGATCAAGTCGGAAGCCTCGATTTTACCGGATTTGACAATCATCTGTCTGACCCACTCCAAGGCGTTTACCCGTATGGCGAGATCGCCAGCGAACCGGCGGAAGACCAGCAAGTTGTCTCGCGGCGAGATCTGACCAAGCAAGTGTTCAACCATCTTTCTTCGAAGCCAGCACATGCGTCCTCCAAGAACCGGCACTGCGGAACTTGTAGATTCTGTCCGACTGGATCGAAAGGAATTTGTTGGTCAGAGCATGTGCATGAGGACCAGAAGTGCCAGAAGTGGTTGTGACAGAGACAGTCAATAAACATCTCCAATAGATATGGTTTGTTCCTTCCGGCCACTCTCTTAGCATGTACTCTTGTCGGAGCCTCCACGGGCCATCTCGAAGATCCAGCTTGTATCCGCAGGCGGCGGCTCTTGGGGTATGTGCTGAGTCTCTCTCTTCACCTCTTCTTCAATGAGACGCAGGACATGTGTGTCAGGCATAGGTCGCACGGGTTCAGGAAGAGAAGAAGCATGCGTAGATGAGCTCGTGGTCAGTTGGAGGTTGAGAGTAAGCGGTCCAGGGCTGTGCCGGGAAATTACGGTGCTCGGGCGTGAAAGTCTCCCTTGTCACAAAGCCATCATATTCCACACCCGCCAGTGCCGCAAGAGGCGTGAGAGCAGGGGTAGTAGGGCGGTTTCGAAATATCAGGGCTATATGCCTTTTTCTGACCCGAGGATGGACGCCTTGAACAATGCTGCAGGCGAAGGGAGGGAGGGAGGGACTGCGTGGTAGGATCAGTGTGGTTGGATCAAACTGATCTCGATGGGGCAATGTATGGCGATCTCGGGATAGTGATCTCAAAGTGAAATGCACGAATTGAGGGCAGTAGTTTGCTGGTAGAGTAGTTTCGATTCTTAGCTGAAGATGCACTGTCAATTCCTCGGTGCGTATTCCGCATGTGTTCTTGTTGGCATCCGAGAGAGAGGCTCGTTGTTCGTCCCGATCCGCAAAAACTGCCACAGAAGTATGGATTTTCAGAGACGGAGTGAAACGAGCCAAAGATCAATTCGCAGTCATCAAGGAAGATGCCCTATTGCGTGTCGCAATCCTTGTTTCCTTCCCCAAAGCAAGCGCAGGTAAATTTAGGAGCGTCGTGAGACAACCTGGAATGCTGCCGTGCTTCTCCAATGAGCATCTCCACTTCGCTAATGGCTTGTTTGTCTTTGTTCCCTTCTCTTCTCCGATTCCCATCCTGGTGGTATCCTATTCTAGCTTCTCTTCTTTTGCTCAGGTAGAGATGGTGCTGAACACGGCAGAGCGACGGTTCACTCTGTCGATGAGTGAGCATCGTTCGAAGGAATATGGGAGCAGAGATAGTGGCAGTGACAGCAAGGAGCAAGGAGGGCGGTGGTGGCAGCAGCAAGGAGCAAGCAGGGCGGTGGTGGCAGCAGCAAGGAGCAAATCCAGCGTGGTTTTCGATACCTCGGGTATTGAAAGGTATCATTATAATACTAGTATTAGCGTGTATTACTAGTATTAGTAGTATCATGATACTTCTTGGTATTCCTCACACACCGTACACACCGCTCTTCAAAAATCTTTCCCTTTCTTTTCTTCGTACGCTTTTATTCTTTTAAAGGATAAAATATGGATTCTGAGGTAGATTTATCTCTTCACGAGCCTTCTACTATTATAGATTCAGTCTCAATAACCTCGAAAAGAGGTATATCTGCTTCCAAAACATAGTCCCATAGTCGTACGCCGCTTTAATATGAACCTAAATCAAAAGATAGAGTTCGATATCTATATTATGCTCACTGTTCTCTTGACTCATCGTATAAGACTATAG